GAGTGGCTGCAGAAGCTGTAAGTTTGTGGTGATAGAAGGTGCCGACAACATTTGAGAACGCGCGTCACTTGAGAAACGAATTCCACCGAAGCTAAAGGATCATATGCGCAAAGAAACACTGGTGGCATTCTGTTGTGACTTGGTGGACCATCGTGTAACTCTGTATCGGCCCCTTGGCTTCCTGCTCCGCCCACTATGGTATATCAAAAGGCACGGTAGCTCTACATAGCCCTTTATGGAGACAAAGGAAAATTATTACAACTGTATTTATAGGGTAGTCACAGAGGGTTCCACAAGGTCGTGCCAGGATCTCCGTAAGGGGGCGAGAAGCGTCGAGTCAAAGGTGCTGGACTTTGATTGGCTGGCATTATGACCAATCAGGGCATGCCTTCGTTTGACCCGTGTCTTGCACGTGACACATCCGTCCAAATGATGTGGTGTTCGGTTATTAGGGACGGCTGGCCTCCGTACACATTCTTACACTTTTTTTTCAACTTGGTCCTGCCGATCCAGGGACAGTAGACGATTTCAAACATTTGATCATCGGTGGCTTAGCGTCCAGTAAGCGTTAGCTGGGCGGAGCGCGTTCGCCATGAAGTGTTGCGTAAGCAAGCAGTTCAGTCAGCTTCTCAGTCAGAACCACCAGAGCAGCAAGTGAAACTGATCCGGTTGAGGAGTGCTACACATGCCCACCTACCACCTACTAAGGAAAGCATTGTTTTCAACCCAGAACTTTTGTGGGCGAAGGACCAACCGGAGACAAACTAAAACTTGGCAGCGCGCAATGAAGATGGCTTCTGTCAAACTGAGTGCTACGAGGTTTTTGCGTCTTCCTGGTTCGGATCCGCATGATTCACATTCCACGCAGCTAGACACCCCACATGACTGATCCCGGTGGCACTGGATCGGACTGTCTAGCTGAAGTTTGTCTGTCATTGTATGGTGGGCGGACATGAAGCGAATGACGTTGGGTCAATTCCACTTAGCGCGTTCCACTTCGATAAGACACTCAAGTGTGTTAATCTGGTTACTGCTCTAAGATGTACGTCTATTGTTCTAGAAAAGTTTCCGTAGATACATAGAACCGTTACGAGTAAATTCCCAGCGTTCCCCTTCGTTTCCACTCCCGGCTGTTGCATTCTTCCTCATGGGTGCGTGGCATCGCTACCGATGTACTGCTGTCGTTGGTGATGACGAGGAATTCGGCGCAGTTAAATGCGTGGAATGCAGTCAAGACCACCGTGTTACATGGTCCAAACTCATTCTGATGAATTTCTCTGCTAGTCCCAAATACCGACATGATGCGTTTCCGCCTAGTGGCCTTGAGGCCCATGACTGGCAATAAAATATCAGATGGAAAACCTGGTGTAGAAAATGTTTCAGGTAAATGAGGATAGGAATACTGTTTTACCTAACAAAGTAAACCGACAAGAGCGGAGACGCTTTGTACTTTGTTTGCTTCGTAAGGATATTAAGATGTTATCTGTTTCTTGTCTGTGACATAAGCCCCACTTTGCACAGCAGCTGCTTCTGTAGGCACATGAATAAGCCTCTACGGAGGAAAACAGACAGCTGAGGCTACATAATTGTACTTTCCTAGAAAGAACAAATCCATGAACCACTTTTCTATCCCAGCCATAATGCTGTGCTTGCATTAATTTCTATTTACTGTGGGGATAACAGTGACTTTTCCAGTTGCCCTGCATGTAGCGTGAAAAAACTACAGATATGCTCCAACGTTGGAGTCCCAACTGATTAATTATACACCTTCAGAAAAAGCCCATAAAGTAGCCATAGTATTATGGTCTTAGACCTGATTTGAAAAAGCCTATTCGCCAAAAGTCCATCTCCGTTTCCTTCAGGTTTCGTCTTGTTTGAGCCAGATAGTTTTGATCTTCACTCCCCGGCTTTTCGGCATAAATTGGATTCACGTGCGAAGCGAAATTGCAGTTGAAACTTTGTTTTGTATGCCTTTGGGAGTGAAGCCTCATTCTTAGGAATATGTGCATCACAAAGTCTATCCTCGGATCCATTACAGATCTCAGATGTGTGCCTTTTGGATCGGATGATCGATTGGATCAAACAAGTGCAGTCCGAAAATGTGGTATCCTCCTCTGACCGCACTTCTTTCGAACCACGACTTTCCCTTAACAAACGCAAGCCCTTGCAAATGCTCAATATGAATGCTCAGAGCAAATGGTCGCGATCAGCAACAGATATCCAAACAGTTTTTGACGTGTCTGGTTGCTCGGTTCATTCTAAAAGTGTGAACCAGTCAACGTACTGGCGCCCTTGGGAAGTCAACGACACATGACGCGAAGTAAGATCTCCCTGTACATAGAATCGGCCTTCCTACTCGCGGTAATCTTTTATCAACAAACCTGCGACAGGGTTTCGTTTACCTGACACAAGAGTTTTCCGTTTCATATAGTAAACGTTTCACACCAACAGAAGACATCATATTACTAGTAACCAAGGTGCCTACACTACACATCAAAGAGATCAATGTATTCACCGTCGATATACTATACTATACTGTCGATATACTTCAACAGCGATCTATACGTGTATATACTTATTCGTTGTTGGTTTTTCACTCATCTCGGTAATTGGTATGCAGGCATCTCGTCGATGCCCAGCAGTGCACTGAAGATTTTGCGTAACAGCGACGGAAAATAGGTCTGCGACCAGTAAATCAGCCCGGGCTAACAACAGTTGGCAGCATCGTTATTCGTTTACTGGTTAAACGCACCTGATTGAAGATCAACTGCGAATCTGCCAGGTCAAAATTTTTCAGTCTTGTTCACACCCAATCGTTGCCATTTCAAGTCACATAGTATCATGACATCCATCTTATTAGAACTGACAGTCGTGGAGATAAAGTATACGCACAGTTGTTGTCCGATGAGTCGGACACACCAATCGCATTGCTCAAGTGTGAACACCCTTGCCTGTTCAGACGTGAAAGTTCGGATGCATCCAACATGCGTTGGTGGGCTTTTGGTTACACGATCGCCTCACACGTCAGATGTCCGGGGTTCAAATCCCGGCACAGCCATTGGATATGCACTGCTGATGAGCTCTAATAAGAGCGAAACTCGAGTCCAGTGATTTCCTCTGGTGTTAACTCACCGGAGCAATTAGGCCTCAGCAGGAAAAGGACCGTTCAAACGAGAGTGGTGTGACTATGAACAAACTACCTGTCCCGCAAAACTTCAAAAATAAAGCATAAGAGTTGTACAAATAACTAGTTGCGGAAACTTGGGGACTGCGCCTATCTGATGGGCCCCAAGAAGGGCGAAACCGGTCGTGGGCTGTCGAAGAGTTTTCAGCAACCTTGTGGGTAGTTTCCTTTAAGAGTAGAAACACTGTTGAATAAATACTGATTGAGTGGTTTCTGCAAGCCACCTAATCAAGGTCAGGAAATCTAAATCGTTTGCTTCAACTAATTTGTGCACATCGTCTGAACCGGTTTGATTTGATCAGCAGCGCTTTGCTAACCGCTACAAACTAGGATTTCGCTCTGCTCAATAAGATTCGAAATTAGTTCACCGGGTCAATCCGGAATTCCGGGATTGACGATGCAGGATTGCGATTTGACCTTTGAGCACACGGTTCTCTTTACAGCATCTGGACTAGGTACTTTGGAATGTGTTAAGCATTGGGACCTGCCTACCCTGTCCATGCAGGTGCAAGCGCCGCAGCTGCGTAACTACCCGAAGATCACAAGATAAGTGGACGGACTAGACAGCCTACACTCACGTTTGGACACAGAAAATCGTCTAATAGCGATTTAAAACAGAAGCGACCTCACTTATGTCGGTGGTCCTTGAGTTGGATAAACAAACATATTTCTTATAGGCTTGATGAAGTTCACTTCCCGCTCATATGTAACATGGAGGTTAGTAGCAGTTAGTAGCAGTAATCCTCCCGCGTATTTTGTATCAACGAGGGTACTGTAGGTTCCAGCCACTTAGCGAATTATTGAAGCCTGTAACGTTCCTCCATTTCAAGCTGGCCACACGAGCCGTATCATCATAAAAATAGGTAATGACCTGGGCAAACTAGACTTAGTTTTCCTGGTTCTTTTTGTTTACTGACGCGCCCGTCCGAGAGCTGGTGCCCAAGGATTTGCTTAATTGATCACATTTGGTGCTGTGAGTTCTAACCTTTTCTGCTGTTCGCTGAAGATCTGTAGGTTTTTCCAAGAAGCGTGAACGCATGTGACCGGGTGTCATGGTTTGGCTGAAGATTAGATCACATAGGAAACTGCTTGAACCAACGCAGTAAAGTCATCTCCCGAAGATAATTTTAATTTTGCATCCGCGGCTCTCAGGACCGGACAACAGGAAACCGTGGACTTGCGACGCAACGACTGAACAGATTCCTCGGGACGCCAGCTCGGAAATATGAACGTAAATTAGGATGTACACTCATTTGCAAACTAATTTGGTCTTTCGAGAGAATCACCTGGAACCCAGCTGAATCACTCGTTTGTGGTGTTCTCAGGCAAATGAATGTGCTGCCTGAGAACATCGCAAACGAGATATTCAGCTGGGTTCCAGGTGAGTCTTTCGAAGAACCAAATTAGTTTGCAAATGAGTGTATATTCGCTAATTTCGTGCACATAAGGTTGACGGAAACTCGGGGACTGCGCCTACCTGATGAGCCTCAGAAAGGGCGAAACCGGTCGTGGACTGACGACGGATTTTCAGCAAACTTATGAGCAGTACATTACAAATTTCACAGGTCTGTCACTGACCGGCACAGTGCACTGTCAACGTCCGCACACCAAACAGCGGGGAGCGGAATGATGGCTCTGCAGCGTGGGCTGCGGTCGTTCCTTCCGACGACGGTCTCGTGATTCTCATTGGACGTGCGATCACGCGGAGCCCATGAGAAAACAAGTCAAGGCAGGCTAAGCACACGGGACGTGAACGCACATGGGTAGGTAGGTCAGTAGCGCACATTCCCACACAAACACACATGTCAATACACAAATGTCGGAAAGGACGGCCTCTGCGGCAAGGTGAGTGGCAGCTACGAATAAGCAAAACAACTGAAGATCAAAAGTACATAGGCGGAGTAAGCAAATGAATGGGGGAATTATCACAATGTCATGTTAGACTCAATGGTTCCTTCTTCATTTGCTTGCATTTTTTGACCCTCTGTTTCTGATCCATGCTCAGCTTTTGGCTCGGTTTTCTCGGTTCTTCTCCATTATCTCAAGTCACTTTCCACTCGTCCTTTCTTGTTTAATCTTGATTTTGGAGTTTCTTCGTCCTCAATGATTGATAGATTGGGCCAAAATTAGTGTGCTCGGTGGTCGGATGCCCAGCTTGGAAGTCCGTCCAACTGCACCTTGAGGCTGTCACTTCCTACGATATGTCAAATCTGACGAACAAATCTGATGATAGCTAATGACAATCAAGTAACGCACCAGAGCTATCAGTACCCCGACATGTTTCAGAGCGGTGTAAATACAATCGTGGGAAATGTGAATGATGAAATCATGTTCTTGTGGCTATCAGTGCAACGTTGATACTACTTAAGGGGAAGCATGTTCTTGGAATTTCGCTTTGCGTCTCTTGAAAAGAAGAGATCTGCTGCGGAATTCGTGTAGTCGCTTTGTAACATTTGCTTGGATTTGAGCAATGAATGATTGAGGTCAGTAAATATCTAGGAACGTTCAAGAAGACGCGTTCAGAAGACGATAGATGTCCAGTTTTTGTAAATAAGATGCAAATGAGAGATTTGCTTCCCTGTCCAATGGTCTGTAACCGGTCAGTTGGCAGTTTCTAAGAAGTCACTTCGCAGCGAAGGTCTTCTTCCTTTCATCAGTAGCACATCTAGTGGTCTATCTCGGGGAAATGGACGTGGTTTTAGGAGTACGAGCATAAACATCATGTTTGTTTTAAAAAAATATATGATAAACTGTGACGCCCGAGTACTTGATCGAATTTTAGTGGGAGACAAGATCTGCAGGTATGCTTTAATAAAAGAATAATATCAGGGAATAGTTTAACAACTGTGGTAGATTAGAAAAAACGATAGGTTACAGCCAAACTTCGTGGAGACATCATGGAATGGGTAGATGCCGATAAACCAAATAATTTGTGAAGTAAAATCTGAAAGGTCACTGAGTCAGTGGCTGCATGGATTTCGCCCGTTTCATGGCATTACACGCGAAATGAATTTTATCCGATAAATCCCAGAAGATGAAACTTGTTGGAAATCTCAGTGGTTTATCGTGCAATCGACAGTCTAGTAAAAGGTTACTAATTCCAGCTGATTTTGATCTGAAGCGCAAGACTCAAATCAGCCGCTATCAATAGCTGTTAAGTTTCCATTTTTAGTAGCGAGGCCACAGAGACATATCTGATGTAGTTGTGGCAATTCATACAAAGCCGTCGCGATTGACCACTTTCTATACTTTTGTAAAACTGTGATACACCAAACTAAGTGGTCCGCTACCCTACCTCTCAAGCCTACGTTTCAGGCTGTAGAGACCGAAAAGTAAGACCACAATACGTCTTCAGTATCCTCTAGTTACTCAATATGAGGGCCTTTTTTTACTCTGATCTTAACTACAAGATACCCTCTTGTATGCTAGATCGTGACGTTATTCCATCCCGACCAGCACCTTGAACCGTACCTGGTTCGAGCAGAACATTACTGAGATTTCCCACTAATTTAACGCCGCAATGTGCATGGGTAAATATGTAATAACCACTACTGTATGATGACTTTCAAAGTTCAAAGGCGTCCTTGTTCCATAGCTCAACAAACGTTCAAGTGTTGTGGTTACGAATTTAACTCTAAATGATGACTGAAAGTTTGAAAGTTGGAGCAAGCGGGCCGGGCAGAAGAACAACTGTACAGTGCTTCTCGGCCAATCAGCATAGATTGGCTTCGCCTACAGGACGAAATCTCCACAAAAATCCCAAATCTCCTCACACTACTAACAATTCATAAGTAGCTCAGTGGGAGAATAAACTTCACCCGATGAGCCAGTCAACACATGTGACTGCGTGATGTGGATCCCGTGATGAAGGATGAGCGGCGCTATATCCTGTCTGAGTGGGAGTTAATCACACTGCTGACCAGCCACTCGTGGCCGAACGGTTAAATTTTCAAACTACTAGCCGGGAGGTCGCGGGTTCGAGACTCTTCGAAGTTTGGTGAGATGCGCACTGCTGATGATTCGCAATGAAACAGCTGTACGGTACTTCTCGGCTTTTCAGCATTGATTGGCTTCACTTACACGACGAAATCTCCACAAAAATCCCAAGTCTTCTGCCAATAATTTATCCTTAATTGTTGCTTGACAATTTCCCTCGGTATTAGGAATCGATGGAATCGATGGGCACAGCACTCATTCCATATAAGAATATCGGAGGTTATTCGAAGATTGTTGAACTTAGCTAACATTCGATTTGGTTTTCAGAAGGGAAAAACGCTACGCTCAGTTTTGGTGCGATTGAAAGATCCCCTGCCGGTTGAAAGGACTAGGAACTGTGTGTATAAAATTAGCTGCAACGATTGCGCTAAGGTTTATATAGGACAAACTGCCAGGGAATCGCACACCAGAATTTGTGATCATAAAAGAAGGATTAGCAAACTACCAAGGAATGCAGAAGAATACCAAACGCTGGTCAAAGCCTCAGCGATGGCGGTACATGCCTTAGACACGACAATGTGAAAGTTTTAAGACGGAGACTGGGATTCACAACACAGCGGCTGATAGCCGAGGCGGGGGAAATTAAGCATCACAACGTGAATACAATCGAGAGTGCGGAACTGGCGAGCGTATGGAAAGCGGTCTTAGATAAGCCGAGATGACACATGACGGTGTGGTTGTCTATCCACTTAGGATCATTAGAAAAAACCGGAGGGTGGGGGTGAAAACCCCAACCGACCAAAGGTCACAGAATTCCTCTTACACAACTATCTCAGCACTATCTCACTCACACAGACTGACAGAAGGTTCAAACGAAGTTCAAATGAACCGAACCAGAAGAACTACACCCTAGGCAAGACCCAAACACATGTAGGTTTCCCCACCGACCCAACACGTCTTCAACCAGTCTAACACACTAAAATCCCTCGGCCGACACCCAACAGAGATTTAGCTTGACTTAGCTGATTGGTTCTCCTTCCGCCTTAGATCTCCACCAACCTCGGAACCTAGTCACTTGGCCTGACGACATTTTTGTGTCAAAAACGAAACGTTGCCCAGCAATAAATCTACCGATGGTCACAAAACTTTTTCGGAAACGATATTTGTACGTTGTTCAGTTACTGCCAACAGCACACTCCTGCTTGAATTAGTTGGTGTGGTCCTGCCTTTCAGCATCATAACTGTTCTTTACTAAGCTTGGATTGATCGAAGAGATTTAACGATCGATTTTTCAGGGGGGACTTGACAAGATGGCAACTTCGCACTTCACTTCAAGTG